TCCCCAAATCAGCTCTGGAGGGTTGTGGGGGGAAACCCAGAAAAGATTTGAGGTGGGGGAGGGGGCATATGGAAGAGGAAAGGATTTTTGCCCCCACAAAAATAAAATGACTTTTAAAAAGAGTTAATCTTGGTTCAGTTGTTTCTGAAAATTCCATTAATAACTGTCACCTGTTTCCCCCATTCTTCTTTCAATGTTGCCATTTAATCCATCTTTCTTTCTCTGGGTATTCGAGGGATGAACTGGGACAACGGCAAAAGTGTGTAGCAACTTGCCTACCTTATGTTTTTAAATAACAGTGGAACAATGAGTGGGGGAAATAAGCCCTGCAGCACCTGAAAGAGCAACAAATGCATTGTGGGATCAGGTTTCATTGTGTAGAATCCAGTGATGTTTTTATTATGGGATGTTAGGGGATTCAGAGGGTTGGATAACAGCCCGGATTGGAATGGAGCCAGATGAAGCTGCGCTAGCAAAAAGACAGTCGGAAAACTATATTACACAAATAAAGTTGTATTCAGCGGATGAAAGGATACTATGATTTCTGACACAACTGAGAATCGTAGAGTCAGAGACAAGAGGTCAGTGTGTTAAAATCGAGATGTGGGAAATATGGAAACAACGACGAGAGGCAGGCTTGAGATTTGGAGTTATGCTTCAAGGTCCAGACTATGGGAAGCCCGAAAAATTAAAAATTATAATTTGGAAAATAATTCGACCTTTTTTATTTTATTTCTTTATTTTTATTGGATTATGATATGATATGTTAATTGGATATTTTTTATTGGAAAATTAGAATCATAGAATCATAGAATCATAGAGCTGGAAGAGACCACAAGGGCCATCGAGTCCAACCCCCTGCCAAGCAGGAAACACCATCAGAGCACTCCTGACATATGGTTGTCAAGCCTCTGCTTGAAGACCTCCAAAGAAGGAGACTCCACCACACTCCTTGGCAGCAAATTCCACTGTCGAACAGCTCTTACTGTCAGGAAGTTCTTCCTAATGTTTAGGTGGAATCTTCTTTCTTGTAGTTTGGATCCATTGCTCCGTGTCCGCTTCTCTGGAGCAGCAGAAAACAACCTTTCTCCCTCCTCTATGTGACATCCTTTTATATATTTGAACATGGCTATCATATCACCCCTTAACCTCCTCTTCTCCAGGCTAAACATGCCCAGCTCCCTTAGCCGTTCCTCATAAGGCATCATTTCCAGGCCTTTGACCATTTTGGTTGCCCTCCTCTGGACACGTTCCAGTTTGTCAGTGTCCTTCTTGAACTGTGGTGCCCAGAACTGGACACAGTACTCCAGGTGAGGTCTGACCAGAGCAGAATACAGTGGCACTATTACTTCCCTTGATCTAGATGCTATACTCCTATTGATGAAGCCCAGAATTGCATTGGCTTTTTTAGCTGCCGCGTCACACTGTTGGCTCATGTCAAGTTTGTGGTCAACCAAGACTCCTAGATCCTTTTCACATGTACTGCTCTCAAGCCAGGTGTCACCCATCTTGTATTTGTGCCTCTCATTTTAATAAAATTAAATAAAATAAATTAAATTAAATAAATTAAATAAATTAATAAAAATGATTTAACAAAGGAATGTTAGGGGAGAGGTGGTACCTCGTGGGGGGGGGGGAGAGCACACCATGCTCCTTCTGGGGTGGTTTGTCCACCTCTGGTCCCCACCTGCACTCAGATCTCACCTGTGGCTCCTAGAAGCTGTCTGCATGCAACAGCGGCCACAATCCAAGGAAATGGCTTTGACTGGCTGGCTAAACCAGGCGAGGGCAGCTGATGGGTCTCAAACCCTCAGTGAGTTAGGGACAGGCTGGTTGAGCGGATGAGACCAAGAGTGGTTCCTTTTTTAAAAATATATATTTTTTATTAGGAATTTCAACATAACAATTTATCAAAAACACATCATCCTCATTCCCCCCCCAATGTTTTTCCTCCCCTCTCCCCAAAAAAGAAAAACTCGCCCTCCCACCCACCCCAGACTTCCCTCAGCTCTTCTCTCTGGTTTTTCAGCACATGTTATTCCCTGCATATTATAAAATTGTAAAGATCCTTAATTTATCTATCTATATACAGTGGTACCTTGGGTTAAGTACTTAATTCGTTCCAGAGGTCCGTTCTTAACCTGAAACTGTTCTTAACCTGAAGCACCACTTTAGCTAATGGGACCTCCTGCTGCTGCTGGGCCGCCAGAGCATGATTTCTGTTCTCATCCTGAAGCAAAGTTCTTCACCTGAAGCACTATTTCTGGGTTAGCGGAGTCTGTAACCTGAAGCGTATGTAACCTGAAGCATATGTAACTTGGGGTACCACTGTATTACCAATAAAAAGTTTGTGAATGTTTATTCAAAACCTGCCAAGAGACCAAGAGAGGTTCCAACGGTCAAGAAGGTGGTTTCTGCACGTGCTGTTGGGGCCGTCTTACCCATAGGCATTAGGGGTGTGGGGCACCCAGGCTCCCAGGGGTGCCAGGCCAAGAGTCCGGGGCCGAGATTTGGAGTCCGGGGATTGGGAAGAGCCGACAGCCGCTGCTGAGCGGAGCAGAACCCGTCGGAGCTCCGGGGATTGGCGGACCGTCGAGAGAACCTGCCAAGCGCACGCTGCTCACACAAGGCTTCACTCAGTCGCCACCACCGCCTCAGGCTCGACTGTTGTTGCGCTGGGCTGTGCTTGCCCACCCCCAGGCGCCCGGCCTTGCGCTGCTGCCACCGCTGCCACCTCGAGCTCCTCTGTTGCTGCTGAGGCAGCCGGTCAGGCCAGCTGTGCCGTGCGCGCTTTGCCAGCCCGCCCTATAAAAAGGTCAACAACTTTGGTCAACCTGGAGGGGCGGATCTCTGCACCCCGGCGCCACATATGCTTAAGACGGCCCTGCGTGCTGTACAGTGGTATCTCTGGTTGCGAACAGGATCCGTTCCGGAGCACCGTTCGCAACATGAGCAGAACGCAACCCATATCTGCGCAGGTCGCGATTTGCCGCTTCTGCGTGTGCGCGTGATGTCATTTTGCGCGTCTGCGCATGCGCGAGCGGCGAAACCCAGAAGTAATCCTTTCCGGTACTTCCGGGTCGCAACCTGAAAACGCGCAACCTGAAGCAAACATAACAAGAGGTATGACTGTATAGGGAAGTGAGGGGCAGATGGGGCTCCTCCACCTGGGAAGGGAGCCCATCTAGGAGAAGGAAAACACTGATCCTAAACCTCCGCTGCCTTGTGGGATATTTTTGGGAGAAGAAAAACTATGGAGTAAATCCTACACAAATTTGGAGTAGAGTCCCTAAGACAGTTGGATGGCGCCTTGAGCACCTCCTTCCAGAAACTTCTGCAGCCAAGCTGGTGCCAAACATATTGTTCTGCTTTCCTTTGGGCCGCATCAGAGAGAGGGGGACTTGGTTTAGGGTTGTCATACGTCCAGAATTTCCCGGATGCTGCCAGGATCCGGCTGCTGGAAACAGTGTCCTGGCGGAAATCACTTTAATGTCCGGGGAAATCCAGCAACCAATGTCGGAAGTGTAGATTTTGGTTAAATTTCTTTAAAATAGCTCCAAAACACAAAAAAGCAACTTGGGGAGGGGGAACTCAACAACTTTTGTGCCTGAAATACTGTATTTTCCCATGTATAAGACTATAAAGTAAAGGTAAAGGGACCCCTGACCATTAGGCAGAAACAACAAATTCTCTTTGTGGGATTGGAATAACACTTGTAATGCAACAATGAGCTATGGACATAATGGAGGTATAAAAATGTGGGTTAATATAAAAGATGCAGAGGGAAAGGATTAACAAAAAGACCCACAAAGGGAAGGAGGTAAGTTCAAGGGATACTTTGGAATATTGTTCTTATATATTATGCTATTATGTGAATGTAAATATTAATTTGGAAAATCAAATAAATAGTTTTTTTTTAAAAAAAATCTCTCTGGTTGCAAGGGAAGGAGGGCTTCCAAGAGGCCTCTCTCACCGTTTTCTCAGGGGAGAAAAACCGAGGAGGACCCAGCAGAGAGATGATGCTTCAGGTGCAATAATTGCAAAGCAGCTGGCAGGCAGGGGAGGGAGGGAGGGAGAGAGAGGCAGCCTGGTCCTCCAGGGGCTTCCTAGAGAGGCAGGAAGTTTTGAAAGTGAGGTTGAAGTGGGGGAAGACAATAGGGAGCCCCCATTCCCTGTTCCTTTCAGGCAGGGAAGGAAGAGGCCTGGTGACATTCCTTGGCCAGGAGGAAGACGGTGCAGGCAGGTATCCTGCCTGGGGAGGGGAAGAATTGGCCTTTTTTTCTTGGGGGAGGGGGGGAGACATAAGATTTCCTTCCTATTGAAATCACACAAATACACCCCAAAAAAAATTTTTTTTAATGGGAGGGTGGGGGTCTGACCTCTGCAACCCAGGTGCAAAAATGGGGTGCCTTTGCAATGCTTTACTGGTTATTGTTAGGGTAGCTCAGCCGGTTAGAGAATGGAGCTGACAGACCTCAGGTTCGATCCCTTTTGGGGGAGCTGCAGATTCCTGCATTGTAAGGGGGTTGGGCTAGATGACCCTGCGGACCCCTTCCAACTCTACAAGTTTATGACTCCCTTTTCTCCCACCACCACCACCAACTTCATCTTCCATGGAAGATGGGGAGACCCTCTGTTTGCAGAGGAAGCAGCATGGGCGGAGGGGGCGGGGAGAGAAAGGACGTGCCTGCCTCGCAAAAAATAAAATAATAGGATTATCCAGTTGCAAAGAGCCCCCTTTCCGCCCCAAAAATGCATTGATTGCATTGCAAGATCTTCCCCTCCCTCCCTCTCTCCCTCTCTCTCTCTCTCTCTCTCTGTGAGCTCTGTCCAATATTTGTAGGTGCTGCAGAGGAAAGCTGTTTTTTTCACACCAGGGACTTCCAAGGGAAACAGACACACAGGATTAAAACAACTATCCCCTTCATCCTTCTTTGTCTCCTTTCCAGGCAGCAGAAAAAGCTCCAGCAACACCTTCTGGGTCTCCTCTTTACAGTGAAATGGGAAGAGATTCTACGCAGCCTGCTCAAGTAAGAGATCGGGGGCGGGGGTGGGGGGGCTTTGTGGGCTTACTTTTATGGGATGCATCTCTGAAGACCCTTGCCCATGCATTTAAAGCACATGCCCTTCCCTCGAGTTCTATGGTTGCTGAATGCCCTGGCCTTCTCCTCATTATTACTATAAGTAGTATTAGTAGTAGTAGTAGTAGTAGTAGTAGTATTATAGTGGTACCTCGGGTTACATACGCTTCAGGTTACAGACTCTTCAGGTTACAGGCTCCGCTAACCCAGAAATAGTACCTCGGGTTAAGAACTTTGCTTCAGGATGAGAACAGAGATCGTGCTCTGGCGGCGCGGCAGCAGCAGGAGGCCCCATTAGCTAAAGTGGTAGCTCAGGTTAAGAACAGTTTCAGGTTAAGAACGGACCTCCGGAACGAATTAAGTACCTAACCCGAGGTACCACTGTAGTACCCTGCCTATCTGACTGGGTTGCCCCAGTTGGAAGGCACTAGTGAATTCCACTAGTTTGCTCACCTGGACCTTTTGAACCACAGCAAAACAAAACAAAAGAAAAGAAACCCGAATATCATTATTGTTATATTTATTTTCATTAAAACCTCCCTCTCCACCTCTTGCCTTCTGTGGCAGGAAGATGTCAAGGCTGCCCAGTGTAAATCCTGGGCAGTTTTGCTCAAAAGCGGCCCATACGTTGCCAGGCCACGTACAAGGTTCATGTCATTAATTTACAAGGCCCTTGGGTCCATGAATCCTCAAAGTCTGCTTTATCCCTTATATCTCTGCTTGACCACTGAAGTCTTCAGGGGAGTCACTGAGGCGCTCCCCCTGACTCGGATGTGTGGCTCGGATCCACCAGAATTACAGGCCCAATCTTGTGGAAATCCCTTGCAGTTGAGGACAGAGTAGAACTCCTTCCCTGTTGAGGTTTTGGCACTTAACTGAATACTTTTTTTTATTCCGGCAGGTTTTTTAAATATTGAACTCCAGATTGTATAATTTTAATTCATGTTTTAGTCTTGTTGCATCGGACGACTGATAAAGTGGTATGCAAACAGATTTCACAGTAAAAACATCCAACAACAGAAACGATTTCTGGAGAGTTTCCTATTAAATAATTAAAAGCGATTGCATTTCAGACACAGTGACGGATAGGCCTCTCTGGTTTCTGCTTCTATGTGGATAAGTGAGGCAAGACCTCCCCAGGCGTAGAGCAAAAGAAGCTGGGATGAAATCGTATTTAGGACTAGTTAGCAGGATCAGTTCAAACAAGGGCAGAAAAACAGAATGCTTGTTTGAACCAGTTGCAGCTTAATCACACAGTGTATACAGTAGTACCTTGGTTCTCAAACCAGAAGTCTGTTCCAAAACCAAAGCATTCCAAAACCAAGGCACGCCTTCCCATAGAAAGTAATGCAAAATGGATTAATCCGTTCCAGACTTTTAAAAACAACCCCTAAAACAGCAATTTAACATGAATTTTACTATCTAACGAGACCATTGATCCATAAAATGAAAGCAGTAAACAGTGTACTGCAGTCACACAATCAGTTAATCAGTAGCTGAACTGGGTTCCACACAGTCATGAAAACAAACAAAAAAGCCGCAAAAACAAAAATGCAAAAACAGGCAGACCTCAGTGTAACACTCAAAACGGAAGCATAAAACTCAAAACGGAAGTGTGGCACTCAAATCAAGAAGCGTAACACTTTAAATGGAGCATCTTCGGCCTCCGAAAAAGTTTGCAAACCAAAACACTTACTTCCAAGTTTTCAGTGTTCAGGTTCCAAGTTGTTTGAGTACCAAGGCATTTGAGAACCAAAGTTCCACTGTAGTAACTTTTGAGTTGCCTGCATTGCTTCACCTCTCTTCCGACTCTCCTTCCTTGGAGGTTTTGAAGCAGAGGTGGGATGGCTATCTGTCTTGAATGCTTTAGCTGAGATTCTAGCATGGCAGGGGGTTGGACTAGATGACCCTTGGGGTCCCTTCCAGTCCAAAGATTCTATGATTCCATGAATAACATAAGGGACCTGCTGGATCAGGCCCCTCTAGTCCAATATATCGCTCCTACAGTGGCCAACCAGATGTCTCGAATGAAAGCCCAGAATCGGGACCTGAGTGCAACAGCGCTTTCCCTCTGCTCCTGAATCCCAGTTCCCGGGAATCCCAAGTGAATCTGCATTCAGGTTCTGCTTCCTACACACACCTGGTTGGCCACTGTGAGAACAGGATGCTGGACTAGACGGGCCTTTGGCCAGGTCACGTCTGCTCACCTGTCTGACTGCCTGCTTCTGTGTGTGACGAGACATACCGGTACCTTATTTTCCACTTTAGGCTCCTGCGACCTTTGAGGAGGTGGCTGTGCATTTCTCCAAGGACGAGTGGACACTGCTGGATCCAGCCCAGAGGGCTCTGTACAGGGAAGTCATGCTGGAGAATTATGGGGAGGTGGCCTCTTTGGGTAAGCACCCCCCTCCCCGTTGCCTTTCTTGCGGCCTAGGACCCACGTACCTACGGGACTGCCTCTCCTGCTATGCCCTGTGGAGGACCTTAAGGTCCACAAATGACAACTTTTTGGAGGTTCCAAGTCGCAAGGTGGTTAGATTGGTCTCAACTAGGGCCAGGGCCTTTTCAGCACTGGCCCCGACTTGGTGGAACGCTTTGTCACAAGAGACCAGGGTCCTGCTGGACTTGACATCTCTCCACAGGGCCTGCAAGACAGAGCTGTTCCACCTGGCCTTTGGTTTGGACTCAGTCTGACCCTTATGTTGCCCTCCCCTTATGGTTTTGATCTATGGGCTATTATTAAAATGAGGCTGCATTTTAAATTGTATTTTTAACCTGTATTTTAAATTGACCCCCCCCCTTATGTTTTTATTGTAATTTTACTGGTGTTAGCCGCCCTGAGCCCGGCTCTGGGCGGGGAGGGTGGGGTATAAATAAAAAATTATTATTATTATTAGACATGGAGAACTCCTGTTGCTTTCTCCTGTCTGCTTCACCTGACCGCATTTGTGCTAAGCTCATTCCTCTTATTCCAGATGGGGCTCTTTGCCAGCTCTGTATGAGAGGGCAGCCGTGATTGGCTGGCAGCCCTTGCGACTGATAGGGCAGAAGGCAGTGAGGCCTGACAATAGGTGGCGCCAGAGCCGGTTCATTCCGCTTTTGCCCCAAAGCTTTTCCCTGCATAGTTTTACCAAAGCAGGAAGAGGAGGCTGGCAGGCAATGCCTACCCCTGGGCTGGTTGCCATTAAGAAGGCAGGTTAAAGGGCTGGCTGAAGGCAGGCAGAGGTTAGTGGGACAGTGTCAGGAGCGAGCCAGCAATAAATCACACTTGTCATAGTCCTGTGCTGCCAGCCACAGCAGAGCTCAGTGGAGGGAGAAGCCAGCCTACCAGCCGAGTCTCAGGGGGGTACTTGCCTGAAGGCAGAGTCCTTAGGTCCAGTCCCGTCCTAAGGTCAGGAGTATCTCAGTTCACGTAGTCAGACGATCCAGGCGTCAAGAAAGCCGAGGGTCCAAGGTCGCAAGAAGCAGCAAGGTCTGGCCAGGAACAGTGAATGTGGTTTCCAGCAACTGTCTGAGGCTGGAAACCCTGTTTAAGAAAGCCGGAGCCAGTTGGTTCACACCAGGAGCAAGAAGGCTGATGAACAGCAGGTGGAGTCACTTCGCCTTCAGGCTGCTGCTCAGCAGGTGAAGCCGACTCCTGGCCCATGACAACATGGAACTTAGCTCTTTATTAGAAGAAAGAAGGTCTGTGCAGGCCTAGTGAGCAGAGCAACTATTTTCAGGTCTTGCCCCTATGAGGCAGTTGAGGAGACTGAATGTTCCCGCCTTCCCACAGCTGCCTGAATCTCCTTTTGCCCCAGGTTCTTCCCAAGCAATATGAGACTACGCTGACGCGCCTCTCTCTGCTCCTCTCTCTTCATACCTCTTCTTCTCATGGGAGTCCAGTGGGGAAGGGAGCTTATAATGCATAAGTGGGAGACACCCTGCCTTCTTCACCAGCCTGACCCATCTCTACCTCTCGGTCTCTCTCCTTTTCTTTTTTATATTAATAATATTTAGCATATATATATATATATATATATATATATATATATATGTATATATATATATATATATATATATACATATATATGTGTGTGTGTGTGTGTATATATATGTATATATATATTTATTCAAATTTATACATTTCATTAGTTTTACAATCAATTTAACATTTCAAAATTTGACTTCCTTCCCCCTCTTTCTGCGGTTCCTTAAATTCATTTTTTCCATCCTCTGCATATCCAAATTCATTTAACTTGCTCATTTATTTATCCACTGTAAAGATATACTCTTATAAAACTGCAGGTTATTACAATAATCCCGCCAGTGTTTTTATCTGTTTACAATTTATCTATAAATATTCAACAAACCTTTTCCATTCTTTTATAACAAGTTTGTTATCTTGATTTCTTATTCTTCTGGTAAGTTTCACCATTTCTGCATACTCCCTGAGTTTTTGTATCCATTCTTCCTTTACTGGGACTTCTGCTTCTTTCCGCTTTTGGGCAAGCAACATTCTTGCTGCTGTAGTAGCATACATAAATAGATTTCTATACAATTTAGGTAGTTCGAGTTCCAGTGATTTCCGGCTGGGGCGGGGGGGAAGCCCAGCTCCCCAGTACTATAAATTGATGGCTTTCGTTGAAGCCTCTCTTTCAGCTACTACCGAACCTCTGCGATGTTGCATGAAAGCACACAAAATGCTAAATAAAGGGTTAATGCTCACAAGGGCTGTAAAACTCTGTGATGTCATATGCCTGAGCCAGTGATGTAAGTCGGTTCAGTTATGAAGAGTCTTAACAGTTAGAGCAGCAGATCTGTTCTGTTGTGTTGCTGTCTGCCTCTGGGTTAGTCAGGACTCAGCTAGATTGGTAAAGAAAAAGTGCTTTATATGTGTTGTATGTGCATTATAACACTGTGACACCAGATGGCGCTGTGGAGTCCCGTTTTTGCCTACCCGGTTTCTCATACAAAGTTTACAATGCATTTAACTGAAACGCTTTTTTGAAGTGTCAACATCCAGCCTCGGCCTATAACAGTACTTATCTTAAATACAAATCTATGTAAGATGTACAGTGGTACCTCGGAAGTCAAACGTAATCTTGGAATCGGAAAAGCCTATTGGAAGCCACTTGTCGGCCACGTTGGGCATTCAGCTTCTGAAAAATGTTCGAAAACTGGGACACTTCCGGGTTTTTGGCATTCAGGAGTCAAAACGTTCAGCAGCAGAGACAATCGAAAACCGAGGTTTGACTACATTATCAGCATACATAACACCTACCTCCATTGTATATTTAATCTCACAAGTGCAAGCACACTGACATATCTTACAATGAAAATAGGTATGTCCTGTTCCATAATAAGGGACGTGGGTGGTGCTATGGGTTAAACCACAGAGCCTAGGGCTTGCCGATCAGAAGGTTGGCGGTTCGAATCCCCGCAATGGGGTGAGCTCCCATTGCTCAGTCCCTGCTCCTGCCAACCTAGCAGTTCGAAAGCACGTCAAAGTTCAAGTACATAAATACATAAGGTACCACTCCGGTGAGAAGGTAAACGGCGTTTCCGTGCGCTGCTCTGGTTCGCCAGAAGCAGCTTAGTCATGCTGGCCACATGACCCGGAAGCTGTAAGCCGGCTCCTCGGCCAGTAAAGCGAGATGAGCACCGCAACCCCAGAGTCGTCTGCGACTGGACTTAATGGTCAGGGGTCCCTTTACCCTTTATTCCATTATTATTATTATTATTATTATTATTATTATTTTACTGTTTAAACCCCACCCACCTGACTGGGTTGTCCCAGCCACTCTAGGTGGCTTCCAACATATATAAAAAACCAAAATATTAAACTTTAATTTATTTATTTTTCTAAGCACACTTTGTTTATTTTTTTCTTTTTGAAAAAGAACAGAATCTGAACATTAGACTTTTAATATAAGATTGTAATGGTAAGTATGGGATACAAATCTTCCATAAGATTTACGTCATGTCTGCATAAATACATTTAGGATCAGAGCATCGTGACTATTAAAAATAGTTCCTACTTGAGAATATTTAGTTTGTTTTTATTTATTTATTTATTTTTATTTATTTTATAACACCATACAAACAAAAAAGACATACACAACACATTCACACCAAAAAAAACTAAATAAAGAAAAAATATATATATAAAAATATATATATATACTCCTGACATAAGACAACAATAAATTGACTACATTAACTACATAACACACAACACTGACTGACTTCCCTTCATCTCGGTTTCGGAATGTGTTATAAAATTTTTCTATCTGCAGTTTCTTTTCCTCAAAAAAAAAATTTTTACATCACAAGTGTTATATCACACCTACTGTGATTTTTAATTTTTTTTACCTCTGTTTCCATGTATGCCATGAATTTATTCCAATCTTTATTAAACTTTGTGTCTTTTTGATTTCTTATTTTCTGTGTCATTTTTGCCAATTCTAGATAGTCGAGTAGTTTAGATTGCCATTCATTTATGGTTGGGATTCTTGGTGTCTTCCAATTCTGCGCTATTAGAACTCTAACAGAACTCCAAAATATTAAACTTTAAAAGAACTTCCCTATACAGGACTACTTTCAGATGGTTCGAGAGTCAGACAACTCCATACCCTCCAAAATTTCTCCAGTGAAAATAGGGATGTCCTAACGAAAAGCAGGGCATGCCGGGATCAAATCAGAAACCAGGACAGCTTCTGTAAATCTAGGACTGTCCCTGGAAAACAGGCACTGAGTAAAAGTTATTTGTTATTTAAACTCTAAACAGAGGTGGTCTTGATTAGTTTTTATAGGAGAGAAAAGGGAACTAATTAAAGGGTCAAATTAAAGGGCTCTCTTTGGCATAACTCTGTAAATGGGGACTAGATTTTAATTCCCACAAATGAAACCCCAGGCCTGATTTTGCTGTTCTGGAATCTTCCTCTGGCTCCCCTACCAGGCACCAGAGCCCAGCATTGCAAACCGTCTCTCCTTTCTTCTCCTTCAGTGCTGTAGACTCCTTAGGCTGAGCCAAGTTATATGGCTAGCCCAAGAAGCCTTTGGTCACCAAGCCCCTCTGCCCTTCCTTCTGGATCTTCTTTCCCCATCCTCTTCCTCTGCCTTCTTCTGTCTGACTCCAGGAGCACCAACAGCTCCAACTAACTCTGCTGAATAGCACCTGGCTATATATACAGTTCTTTGGGCCAACCCTAGCCAATCACAGCGTTTCACTAAGAATTCTAAACCTGCATCCTCCAATCAGACTACGCACTCCTTCTATCCTTCTTTTGCGTACTGAAGGTTCTATCTCCAACTCCTCCTCCGTTTAAAGTCCTCTGGTCCAGCCCCAGCCAATCACAGCGTCTCGCTGAGAATTCTAAACCAGCAACCGCCAATCAGAATACACATCACCAGCCGCTCCTCAGCTGTCCGTCAAAGTTCCCACAGTGACAGTTAAACGGACTTGCACCTGACCAGAGAGAAGACTTCCCCCATGAAACACATTGCAGTAACAAATGCCGGAATACATTCCACAGTTTAAACAGGTTTTCTTCCCATTTAATCATATTCATATATTTGAGCCCTAGAAGGAAAGGGGAATACTCTTTCAGACCCCTTAACACTCATTCTCTGCACAGGAGGGAATCAGCCAGGCTGCATCCAGTGATCCCTTCCTTACCAAAGGATTTATGCCTGAAAATTGAAGGAAGAAACAGTTCCGATAAAGGAAGATTGGCAATTAAAACTAAAGGAGTATGCAGAAATGGCGAAACTTACCAGAAGAATAAGAAATCAAGAAGAAAGACTTTTTAAAATAGAGTGGGGGAAATGTATTGACTGTTTGAAGAGACATTGTAAAGAAATCAAAACGTTGTTGTTTAGTCGTTTAGTCGTGTCTGACTCTTCGTGACCCCATGGACCAGAGCACGCCAGGCACTCCTGTCTTCCACTGCCTCCCACAGTTTGGTCAAACTCATGCTGGTAGCTTCGAGAACACTGTCCAACCATCTCGTCCTCTGTCGTCCCCTTCTCCATGTGCCCTCCATCTTTCCCAACATCAGGGTCTTTTCCAGGGAGTCTTCTCTTCTCATGAGGTGGCCAAAGTATTGGAGCCTCAGCTTCACGATCTGTCCTTCCAGTGAGCACTCAGGGCTGATTTCCTTAAGAATGGATAGGTTTGATCTTCTTGCAGTTCAAATTGATGCAGTAAGAGATAACTAGGGAGAACATAAGGGGAAATTAGAAAATAGATTCGAATTGGATATGCAGTAATAAAAAGATATAAAATAACTAACTGCAGAAAGGAGGGGAGAGAAGTCAAAGAGAATTGGATTTATTCGTTATTACATTAATCCCTCTAATGTTTTTATCTGTTTACAATTTATTTGTAAATATTCAGTAAACCATTCAGTAAACCAGTTCCATTCTTTTATAAAAAGTTTGTTATCTTGATTTCTTATTCTTCCGGTAAATTTTGCCATTTCTGCATATTCCCTGAGTTTTTGTATCCATTCTTCCTTTACTGGAACTTTCGCTTCTTTCCACTTGTGGGCAAGTAACATTCTTGCTGCTGTAGTAGCATACATAAATAAATTTCTATACAATTTAGGTAGTGTTGTCCCTATAATTCCCTCCGTTCCTGCTCAATCTTCTGCTTCTGGGCTGCTCTCTGCCACAGCCTCCTCCTGCTCACTAAGCCCTGTCACCTCTCCAGCTAACGGCACCTCCTCCTCCCAGTCTTCTCCCTCTGATGACCCATCGTCGTCCCACCACCAATCCCTGGGCTCTGAGCCTTCTTCCCTTAGGGGGTTCCCCGACTGGTGCTTCCCATCATTTCCCTGTATCCAGTGATGGCACTACCTCTGTCTTAGGAGGCCGGTAACAGAACCAGTCTAGTCTGAAATTCTGGACTCCTAGAAGGAAAAAAATATTTTCTTCTTCTTCTTCCATTCAAGATGGGCCTCTGATTCTTCAACCTCTTCTCATCAGCTGGTTGGAAGGAGAGGGAGAGCAATTTGACCCAGAGCGACTGGCGGGTAGGTGCAAGGATGATCTGGGGAAGGGTTGTTACCTTGCCAGGTTGTGGTCTTGTTTTGTGTTTCTCAGAAACGGTGTTTTTTTTCCTTTAAAAAATGTTTAGGGGGTACTTTCATTTTGACTCAAGGAAATCACCATTTTATAGTTCATTTTATAGTTCATGAGTCCAGTATATCTTAAGGCGCATCTCCACCCCCATTGTTCTACCCGGACACTGAGGTCCAGCACCAAGGGCCTGCTGGTGGTTTCCTCATTGCGAGAAGTGAGGTTACAGGGAACTGGGCAGAGGGCCTTCTCGGTAGTGGCACCCGCCCTGTGGAACGCCCTCCCACCAGATGTCAAAGAGAACAACAACTACCAGACTTTTAGAAGACATCTGAAGGCAGCCCTGCTTAGGGAAGCTTTTAATGTTTGATGGATTACTGTATTTTAATATTTTGTTGGAAGCCGCCCAGAGTGGCTGGGGAAGCCCAGCCAGATGGGCGGCGTATAAATAATAAATTATTATTATTATTATTATCATCATCATCATCATCATCACCATCATCATCATCATCATCAACATACAGTTGACTTCACACATTAAACGCTTGCTTCCATCTGAGACTCAGGAAACACCATGACAGGAAATGAGGCCGCCGTCGGGCGTAGCAATGAAACTGACGATTCACCGTGCTAGAGAAGAAACTAAATTTTTTAGTTTCTTATCCTGTTAGATTCACAAAATGTTTAGTTTCTTATCCTGTTAGATTCACAAAATGTTTAAGGGTATGCGTACCCCTGCACCCCCCCAAAAAAAAACACACTTCTCAGAATAGCCTGAGGCTAGATGCCTTGACACGGGACGCGGGTGGTGCTGTGGTCTAAACCACAAAGCCTAGGGCCTGCCAATCAGAAGGGCGGCGGTTCAAATCCCCGTGACGGGGTGAGCTCCCGTTGCTCAGTCCCTGCTCCTGCCCACCTAGCAGTTTAAAAGCATGTCAAGTGCAAGTAGATAAATAGGTACCACTCTGGCGGGAAGGTAAACGGCATTTCCGTGCACTGCTCTGGTTCGCCAGAAGTGGCTTAGTCATGCTAGCCACATGACCTGGAAGCTGTCTGCGGACAAATGCCAGCTCCCTCGGCCAATAAAGCGAGATGAGCGCCGCAACCCCAGAGTCGGCCACGACTGGACCTAATGGTCAGGGGTACCTTTAGATGCCTTGACACCCATTTGAATGGTTTTCACCCACTTTGATTCCTCACAAAATCAAGGGGGGGGGCATTGCAGGGGGTTGGACCCATTTGAGTCCCTTCCATCTCCACAAGGCTACGATTCCATGAACTGCGAATCAAACCCAGAATCATGGCTTGCATCTCCGAAGTCAAGCAGGATGACGTGGTTGCCGTGCAAGGAACCGGCATAGAAAATATTACCCTGCCATCTTTTTTCTCTCGTCGCCGTTGCAGGTGGAGGGGAAACCTCCATGACGTGCTTAAGGCTCTCGCCTCTTTGTCACCGGGTGGAAAGAGCCGTTCTGCCCTTATCTCAGGTAAGCAAAGCTCCTCCTATCTGTGGCAGAGGCGATCCAGGAAAAGGCTGCTCCCAGGGTAAAAATAAATGACTTAAAAAAATAATAATCAGAATTTTAAAATTTAAATCAGAATTTTAAAATTTAAATTGGATTTTTAAAATAAAATGCTGTTGGAGGAAAAGTCTTTCTAAAGATAATTTTCTGTTTAAGTTGCATTATAGTCCAAAGGTTATTCATCAGGAAATAAGGATTTGTTTTAAGTTTTTCTTGTGTGCTAAAACTTAGTCTGCTTTTTTTAAAAAAAATGTTTAACCACATCAGTTAACAAACATGCTATAATGTTATTGTTTTAGTTAAATAAATTGTTATTAAGGAAATGATTATTAGGAAATGATTATTTTTCTCCTTCCAATAAAATGCAGCAGAAAAGTTGTCCAAATATGAACAGTTAACTTATTAAACCTGACAATAATTTCATAATTATCTGTCTATGTATGTCTAATAGTATAACCAAATCAATAATTTTTGATATAACTGCAAAAACTACTCTGGAAATTTATTATTCCAAAAGTGAAACCTTCCATCTGGTTGTAAATATTTAGATTATACCAGCAAGAATGAGTCTTTCTGTAAAAAAATGATTTAAATCAAGTCTTACTGGCTAGTGATTTAAATCATGATTTTAAACAATTTGATTTAAATCAAATCCACCCTGGTTGCTCCTCCCACTTGCTCCTGAGGCAGGGCTATGCGAGTGGCCCAACCAATCAGAGCAGGCCACAAAGAGAAGGGCAGTAGCCCCTTGGCACAAATCATGGCAAGGAGATGCCAGCATCCTAGGTGGCAGGTTTGTAGGGTGGATGGGTCCTCAAATCAATTTCTTCCTCCTGCCTCTGCATGGATTCTTGTTTCAGTTGGGTTATTTCTTTTTTGCTAAGGGCATGAGGGGATCGTCCATCAGTTTGGTGCTGTTGAGAAAACACATCCTTCTTTTCCCAGGGTTTGGTCTCCTTTGAGGAAGTGAGTGTCTCCTTCGCCGCAGACGAGTGGGTTCTGCTGGATCCAGACCAAAGGGCGCTGTACAAAGAAGTCATGTTGGAGAACTACAGGAATGTGGCCTCTCTGGGTGAGGATTGTAAGGGGAAACATGGAGTTGGAAGGTGTGGACATGCAGAGGGCCCAACTGTGCCATCTGCTTCCATTGGCCCGTGCCAATGGAAAATCAGCGACCCAGACTTGAGAAGCCAGGGCACGCTATTAGAAGAGTGTATAATAATAATAATAATTTATTTATACCCCGCCCATTTGGCTGGGTTTCCCCAGCCACTCTGGGCGGCATCCAACAAAACACTAAAATACAATAACCTATTAAACATTAAAAGCTTCCCTAAACAGGGCTGCCTTCAGATGTCTTCTAAAAGTTTGGTAGTTATTTTTCTCTTTGACATCTGGTTGGAGGGCATTCCACAGGGCGGGTGCCACTACCGAGAAGGCCCTCTGCCTGGTTCCCTGTAGCTTCACTTCTCGCAGCGAGGGAACTGCCAGAAGGCCCTCGGCGCTGGACCTCAGTGTCTGGGCTGAATGATGGAGGTGGAGACGCTCCTTCAGGTATACACAAAGTGTAGACACAAAGTCAGAAAAGCTAAAGCACAGAATGAACTCAGGCTTGCTAGAGAGGTTAAAAGCAACAAAAAAGGCTTTTATGGGTATGTTCGTAGCAAAAGGAAGAACAAAGAAACAGTGGGGTCACTCAGAGGAGAAGATGGTGAAATGCAAACAGGGGACACAGAAAGGGCTGAACTCCTCAATGCCTTCTTTGCCTCAGTCTTCTCCGATAAAGAAAACAATGCCCGACCTGAAGAATTTGGAGCAAATGATTCAGCAAAGGAAACACAGCCCAGAATAACTAAGGAGATAGTACAAGAATACTTGGCTAGTTTAGATGTATTCAAGTCTCCAGGGCCAGATGAACTGCATCCAAGAGTATTAAAAGAACTGGCAGATGTGATCTCAGAACCACTGGCAGTCATCTTTGAGAATTCCTGGAGAACAGGCGAAGTCCCGGCAGACTGGAGGAGGGCAAATGTTGTCCCTATTTCAAAAAGGGGAAAAGAGAGGACCCAAATAATTACCGCCCAGTCAGTCTGACATCAATACCAGGGAAGATTCTGGAGCAGATCATTAAGCAAACAGTCTGTGAGCACCTAGAAAGGAATGCTGTGATCACCAATAGTCAGCATGGATTTCTGAAAAATAAGTCATGTCAGACTAACCTGATCTCGTTTTTTGACAGAATTACAAGCCTGGTAGATGAGGGAACGCAGTGGATGTAGCCTACCTTGATTTCAGCAAGGCATTTGACAAGGTGCCCCATGATATTCTTGTAAAGAAGCTGGTAAAATGCGGTCTTGACTATGCTACCACTCAGTGGATTTGTAACTGGCTGACTGACCGAACCCAAAGGGTGCTCATCAATGGTTCCTCTTCATCCTGGAGAAGAGTGACTAGTGGGGTGCCACAGGCTTCTGTCTTGGGCCCGGTCTTATTCAACATCTTTATCAATGACTTGGATGATGGACTCAAGGGCATCCTGATCAAATTTGCAGATGACACCAAACTGGGAGGGGTGGCTAACACCCCAGAGGACAGGATCACACTTCAAAACGACCTTGACAGATTAGAGAACTGGGCCAAAACAAACAAGATGAATTTTAACAGGGAGAAATGTAAAGTATTGCACTTGGGCACAAAAAAATGAGAGGCACAAATACAAGATGGGGGACACCTGGCTTGAGAGCAGTACATGTGAAAAGGATCTAGGAGTCTTGGCTGACCACAAACTTGACATGAGCCAACAGTGTGACGCGGCAGCTAAAAAGCCAATGCAATTCTGGGCTGCATCAATAGGAGTATAGCATCTAGATCAAGGGAAGTAATAGTGCCACTGTATTCTACTCTGGTCAGACCTCACCTGGAGTACTGTGTCCAGTTCTGGGCACCACAGTTCAAGAAGGACACTGACAAACTGGAACGTGTCCAGAGGAGGGCAACCAAAATGGTCAAAGGCCTGGAAACGATGCCTTATGAGGAACGGCTAAGGGAGCTGGGCATGTTTAGCCTGGAGAAGAGGAGGTTAAGGGGTGATATGATAGCCATGTTCAAATATATAAAAGGATGTCACATAGAGGAGGGAGAAAGGTTGTTTTCTGCTGCTCCAGAGAAGCGGACACGGAGCAATGGATCCAAACTACAAGAAAGAAGATTCCACCTAAACATTAGGAAGAACTTCCTGACAGTAAGAGCTGTTCGACAGTGGAATTTGCTGCCAAGGAGTGTGGTGGAGTCTCCTTCTTTGGAGCTCTTTAAGCAGAGGCTTGACAACCATATGTCAGGAGTGCTCTGATGGTGTTTCCTGCTTGGCAGGGGGTTGGACTCGATGGCCCTTGTGGTCTCTTCCAACTCTATGATTCTATGATTTCTACTGGACCGAGGCCGTTTAGGGCTTTCAAGGTCAGCACCAACACTTTGAATTGTGCTCGGAAATGCACTGGAAGCCAATGTAGGTCTTTCAGGACCCGTGTTATGTGGTCTCGGCGGCCTCTCCCAGTCACCAGTCTAGGTGCCACATTCTGGATTAGTTGTAGTTTCCGGGTCACCTTCAAAGGTAGCCCCACGTAGAGCGCATTGCAGTAGTCCAAGCGGGAGATAACCAGAGCATGCACCACTCTGGTGAGACAGTCTGCTGGTAGGTAGGGTCTTAGCCTGCGTACCAGATGGAGCTGGTAGACAGCTGCCCTGGACACAGAATTGACCTGCACCTCCATGGACAGCTGTAAGTCCAAAATGACTCCCAGGCTGCACACAGGTACAGTCTCTGATTGCTTGGGGAAAGCCCTGGAGAGGAGGAGACATAGATGGCTGTGGGGAGGTGGGGACTTCAGTCTCAGCAATTGATTTCCATGGAGGAAGACCACCAGGATGGAGCTGCTCTGCTCATTAGGCCTGACACTCAGCCAAATCTGTGGAGATTGTGTTTTTGCTAATAAAGTGTTAACTGCTACTTGGAACAGTGTGATTTACTGCTGGCTTGCTCTTTGACAGCAAGGCAGATGCCCAATCCCGTGCTGTCCTTTCCCCCCTCCTGATACCCGGGTCATTTGTTTCTTCCTTTTTTAAATCCATTGTCTTCATTCCATTTTCCCTTTGGGGTGGGATGGAGGTACAAAACAGGCCACGTGGCCTGGGATTTCTGGACGCACAGGTCACAAGTGCCATAAATATTTGTTTTCTCTCTCTTTTCTTAATCCCATGAAGAAGGTCCTCTGATGCCCAAATCTGACCTTGTCTCCTGGCTGGAAGGAAAGGAAGAACTGCTGGCCTGGGAGGACCCTGCAAAGAAGGATGAGGGATTTTTCCAGGAAAAATTGACTGGTAGGTCCTTAGATGAAAAATACCAATCAGAGAAAGAGAGATCTGTGCCCGGTGAAATTGAGTGAGGGAATCAACCAGAAATGAATTTGTGCTATTCTCTCAGATATTGGCAAATGCAAAAGGTAACCTAGCAGGGTGTGTAGAGAGAAAAGGGAAGGATTTTGGATACTGTGAAATAACTAAAGCAGCCAGTCCTCAGTTTCTGCCTTGAAGCCCAATCATGTTTTCTTTTTGTTTCCTTTTCCCAAACAGAGGATGGACTTGGCTTTGAGAATTATAAGGAGCAATCTGTGGCGTCGTTGGAAACAGCTAAGCAGCAAGCAGCAACAGAGGCCTTTGGGACGCGAAGGGGACCTACATATCTTGAGGGAAATGAATCTTCTCCTTCTCTGCATGATGATTTTCATGAAATCCTGAGCGTACATCTACCTCACATGGGAGAGAAGTGCCCAGTGTGTGGGAAGACTTTCAAAGATGAATCGAGCTTGAATAAACATTGCAGAACCCACACAGGAGAGAAACCATATCAATGCCTGGAATGCGGAAAGAGCTTCAGTGGTAGCGGAAAACTTACTAGACATAAAAGAAGCCACACAGGAGAAAAACCTTATCAGTGCCCTGAATGTGGAAAGAGCTTCAGTGAGAGAGGGACACTTATTAGACATCAGAGAATCCACACAGGGGAAAAACCTTACCAATGCCTTGAGTGTGGAAAGAGCTTCAGTGACAGCAAAACACTGAATAATCATCAAAGAACTCACACAGGAGAGAAACCATATAAATGCCTGGAGTGTGGAAAGAGCTTCAGCTACAGTAGCATCCTGAATACACACCGAAGAACGCACACAGGGGAAAAGCCATTTCAGTGCCTGGAGTGTGGAAAGAGCTTCAGTCGGAGCACCCACCTTTCTGCCCATCAGAGAACTCACACAGGGGAGAAACCATATAAATGCCTGGAGTGTGGAAAGAGCTTCAGTGTTAGCTCAAACCTTAGTTGTCATCAGAGAACCCACACAGGAGTGAAACCATATAAATGTATGGCATGTGGAAAGAGCTTCAGTGCTAGCTCAAGCCTGACTTTACATGAGAGAACTCACACAGGGGAGAAACCGTATAAATGCCCTGAGTGTGGAAAGAGCTTCAATCACAGCTCAAACCTTACCTCACACCAGAGAACGCACACAGGGGAAAAGCCATTTAGGTGCATGGAGTGCGGAAAGAGCTTCAGCCAGAGCATAAGTCTCACTGCCCATCAAAGAGTCCACACTGGCGTGAAACCATATACTTGCCTGGAGTGCGGAAAGAGCTTCAGCGACAGCAAGACGCTCACTACTCATCAGAGAATCCACACGGGGGAAAAGCCATACAGATGCGGTGAGTGTGGGAAGAACTTCAGCGTCAGCTCAGGCCTTGCTTCACATCAGAGAACTCACACCGGGGAAAAGCCCTTCAAATGTGCGGAGTGTGGGAAGGGCTTCAGTCAGAAAGCCCACCTTTGTGCCCATCAGAGAATTCACACAGGGGAGAAACCTTACCAGTGTCTGCAGTGCGGGAAAAGCTTCAGCCAGAGCACAAGCCTTAGCACACATCAGAGAATTCACACAGGGAAGAAACCATATGAATGTCTTCCGTATGGAAAAAGCTTCAAGAAGAGCTCAGGTGTTCCTTCGTATCAAGGAAGCCACGCAGGACAACTCTGGATATATGGCCCTTTGCTTCAAAACCAAGACGATGGTGTATTGCCTATATTCTGTCCATCTGGCAAGGAGACGGATTTTGATGACAAGCTCCTATGTTTCGTTTAAAAGATGAACAATGCAACTATTTGACTCTTGGTTGGGTGCTGTTTAGTCCCACAGGTTTGCGGCTTCCTGTGTTTGTTAGTAACAAAATCCGCCTCTTGCCTTCATCCTCTGCTCTTATTGTTGTCAAACGTTGAAGGCAAGAGTGTGGCGGTTCTCTATTTCATTTGTATCTTGTTTTAAGAGGATTCTGATGAGGCTCTGAGCAGGCTGTCCTCTGAACGGAGGCTAAAGCAATTTTAACCTGGAACAATTTTGGAGAACACTGGAAAAACCCTCCTATGACTTTCTTGTTTTGTTTTGGAACTCTTAGCGTGTAGTGGGGAGCTGTTCATGTAAGATAATCTACAGCGGGGGTGATGGTTTCGGTGTATACTCTAGTACCCAGTCTTTTCAGTATTGTTAATAAAGTTTCACAACTATGATGCCAGTCGCTCAGATTGTGACCGTATGGCAGGGTGGAGGAACTTTTTTTCATTGTGGAGGGTGGAAAGTGCTTTAGTGATAAAAGGAGCACTTCCTACATATATAAAAAACACAAAAAACTCACAACAGGTTGAAATATTTTCAGTGTGTGGAAAGAGCTTTAGTCAACACCTTACTGTACCCAAAAAAGCCCATGGGGGGCGCTATGGAAATGTATGAAGCAGGGGTCAGCAAACTTTTTCAGCAGGGGGCCAGTCCACTGTCCCTCAGACCTTGTGGGGGGCCAAACTACATTTGGGGTGTGTGTGAACGAATTCCTATGCCCCACAAATAACCCAGAGATGCATTTTAAATAAAAGGACACATTCTACTCATGTAAAAACACGCTGATTTCCGGACTGTCCGCGGGCTGGATTTAGAAGGCAATTGGGCCGCATCCGACCCCCAGGCCTTAGTTTGCCTACCCATGGTATGGAGTATGGAAAAAGCATCAGCCAGAGTCAATGCGTTGCTTGAAGGTCCATCAAAGAACCATTTCGAAGTATTAAAGATTAAGATGAACGTGACAATGAGAAGAAAGGGGAGGGCAAACTTGATGACCAATAGGTTTTTGCTGCAACCCTTTTAGTGCTTGAGATTCATGCAACTGCAGCTGTTGAAATAAAAACTGAACTTGCTTTCATGGCGTGTCTGATCACTGATAAAGAACAAATCGCCCACCCTTTCTTAGAAATCCTAGCTTTCAAAGTTTTGAATGTGCACCCTGTCTACGTTCTGGAGACACCTCTATTTATTTGACAATGCAGCTTCTGCTTTTTGAGCTCCCTCCACAAAGCAGCTTCTTTATTAATTGCCCCTTGTTTGAAAAGGGAAGTGGCTTATTTCATTCGTAAGATTTCTCACCTTCTTTCAAGGACGTAGGAAGAACTCTGCTGGATCCATCTCAAGGCTCACCTGGCCCTGGAATTTGTTCTCACAATGGCCAACCTGGTGCTTCAGTGGGGACCCCACAATCAAGACCTGAACACAACAGCCACTCTCCCCACTTGTGATTCTCACCAAATTTATAGCCATTTATAGCCTTCCTGCATGAACTTGCAGCAGTTATGCAGGTTGTTTCTTCTGTTTTTATGATGTGTGTTTACAGTGGTACCTCGGGTTAAGTACTTAATTCGTTCCGGAGGTCTGTTCTTAACCTGAAACTGTTCTTAACCTGAAGCACCACTTTAGCTAATGGGGCCTCCTGCTGCCGCCGTGCCGCCAGAGCACGATTTCTGTTCTTATCCTGAAGCAAAGTTCTTAGCCTGAAGCACTATTTCTGGGTTAGCGGTGTGTGTAACCTGAAGCGTATGTAACCTGAAGTGTATGTAACCCGAGGTACCACTGTATATTTGTTTCTAATCTACTGCAGTGGTACGCGGGTGGCGCTGTGGTCTAACCCACAGAGCCTAGGGCTTGCCGGTCGGAAGGTCGGTGGTTTGAATCCCGACAGGGTGAGCTCCCATTCTTCAGTCCCAGCTCGTGCCCACTTAGCAGTTCGAAAGCACGTCAAAGTGGAAGTAGATAAATAGGTACCGCTCCAGTGGGAAGGTAAATGGCGTTTCCGTGCGCTGCTCTGGTTCACCAGAAGTGGCTTAGTCATGCTGGCCATATGATGTGGAAGCTGTCTGTGGACAAACGCTGGCACCCTCGGCCTATAGAGCGAGATGAGCATGCAACCCCAGAGTCGTCCGCGACTGGACCTAATGGTCAGGGGTACCTTTACCTTTACCTTACAGTGGTACTGTTGCAGGAATTTATGTATAGGTTTGGGGGTGGTTGCCTCTCCAGCAGATATCATACACATGCAGCCCACTACCAAAATCAGCACAATCACTTTTGTGACTTTTGTGATTTGTACCCACAAAACACTTAATCACAGTTTCTTCCTATCTATTCAAAGGGCCTCTGCTGCACAATACCAAATGTAAGAATTCACTGATAAATGTATCTATGTACTGGCTCACAGGGAAAACTTCAGAAATTCATATAGTCATGTGAGCTCAGCTACTCAGCAGCCCCTCTGCCTGAGTGATAATTCCTGGCATCCTGATACCTGAGTGCCAGACAGGTAGCCATTCCAGAAATAACAAACCCAGATGAAAACAAAAGGGTGTCATTAACTTGGTGGGGAAACAGGGAAATGTAAAAATCACTTTTGTTATACTTGATGGGTGTTGGTGGAGGGCAAGGAGCACCATGGGGCAGGGTCCAGGATGCTCAGATTACTGCCACCAGACATCCCCTTTCATGATGTAACCATGATGTATGAGTGATGTAGTTTGGGAGGGTGTAACATGGGGATTAGGGACGCGGGTGGCGCTGTGGGTTAAACCACAGAGCCTAGGACTTGCCGATCAGAAGGTCTGCGGTTCAAATCCCCATGACGGGGTGAGCTCCCGTTGCTCGGTCCCTGCTCCTGCCAACCTAGCAGTTCGAAAGCACATCAAAGTACAAGTAGATAAATAGGTACCGCTCCTGCGGGAAGGTAAACAGCATTACTGTGCGCTGCTCTGGTTCACCAGAAGCAGCTTAGTCCTGCTGGCCACATGACCTGGAAGCTGTACACCGGCTCCCTCGGCCAGTAAAGCGAGATGAGCGCTGCAACCCCAGAGTCGGTCACGACTGGACCTAATGGTCAGTGTTCCCTTTACCTTTACCTAACATGGGGATTAGCAGCTAATAAAAGTTTGGGGGCTCTTCTGTTCGGGGCTTCCATCTTGTTCCACCTGGTGGCAGGTGGGAGTCCTGTCGTGACAGTCTTCAAGAAAGACCAAGCCTACTGGCTGCTGTTTTGCTCTGGTATTCCTGGCTGGTGTCCTTGTTTTTTTGTCCAAGGGAGCCCACAGATTTCTCCGTTAACAGTACAGTGGTACCTCAGGTTAAGTACTTAATTCGTTCCGGAGGTCTGTATTTAACCTGAAACTTCTTAACCTGAAGCACCACTTTAGCTAATGGGGCCTCCTGCTGCCACTGCGCCACCAGAGCACGATTTCTGTTCTCATCCTGAAGCAAAGTTCTTAACCTGAAGCACTATTTCTGGGTTAGCGGAGTCTGTAACCTGAAGCGTATGTAACCTGTACCTCAGGTTAAGAACACCCCAGGTTATGCACATTTCTAACCCGGAACTGGGTGTTCCGGCTTGCGAAATTATTTCGGGATGCAAAGGAGCTCTCTGGAGGCCTGGCCGCTGCCTGGAGCTAGGCCCCGGCAGCAGCTAGGTGCAGCAGGCTGCACCCCGGCCCCAAACGTTAGGTAAGGAACACTTACCTAATGAAGACTAAGAGCCAAGTCCAGAGGTGAACCTGGCAAGTAAACCAAGTGAGCCTCCGCCGAAAAGCACCAGCCCTTTCCCGCCCTTGCCCCGCCCCCAGCTGGCAGCAAGGTGGGTGGCCCCTAGCCAAGCAAGCCCGCCCACCCTGTGGGAGGGGGGCGTGGAAAATAGCGGGATTCTGCAAGGGATTTTGGGATTTGTTTATGTGAGTCTGCCGCATGTGCCTTTGTCTCTGCTTTGCTCCTTCTTTTGGGGGAAGCCGCCTTCTGCCATTGTTTTGGGGATTATGTGGAACCCAGTTCAGCTTCCTGGGACTGCTGACATGAAGAAAAGCAGCAAAGGCAAGAGAACCGTGATAACTGTTGAGGTAAAGAAGGAAATTATTTCCATACACGAAAGTGGGGTCCGTGTAGGTGATCTGGCAACGCAGTTTGGGATGCCCAAATCGACAATTAGTACCATCATAAGAAAGAAGGATGCTATTAAGGGGGCCAGTGTTGCAAAGGGTGTTAAAACACTCAAGCAACGGACACAGACAATGGAGGAAATGGAAAAAATGCTTTTAATATGGATAACTGGAAAACAGGAGGCCGGTGACAGCATTTCTGAAAGCATAATTTGTGCAAAAGCTTTACAGTTGCATGCTGACCTCGTCGCAAACGCCCCTGGACCAAGTGCTGAGACTGAGAGTTTCAAGGCAAGCCATGGGTGGTTTGAAAGATTTAAGAGGAGAACTGGGATCCACAGTGTTGTGAGACATGGCGAAGCTGCCAGTGCCAACCAATTAGAGGCTGACCAATTTGTTTTGGAATTTAAAGATTATGTCGAGTCGCAGGGCTTCGTTCCCCAGCAAGTTTTCAACTGTGATGAGACAGGTCTCTTTTGGAAGAAAATGCCAAAGAGGACTTACATAACAAAGGAGGAGAAAGCATTGCCAGGGCACAAGCCCATGAAAGACAGGCTGACACTTTTATTTTGTGCGAATGCAAGTGGAGATTTTAAGCTGAAGCCTTTGTTAGTCTACCATTCTGAGAACCCCAGGATATTTAAGAAAAACAAGGTCATAAAAAGCAAATTGCATGTGATGTGGAGGGTGAACAGCAGAGCTCGGGTAACCAGGCAATTTTTTATTGAGTGGGTTCATGAAGTGTTTGGGCCAAGTGTAAAAAAATACCTCCAGGACAAAAATCTTCCACTGAAGTGCCTGCTTGTTATGGATAATGCTCCAGCCCACCCTCCAGGCCTGGAGGATGAGTTGATGGAAGAGTTTGGTTTTATCAATGTAAAGTTTTTGCCCCCCAACATGATTCCTCTCATCCAGCCCATGAACCAGCAGGTCATATCAAATTTTAAGAAGCTTTACACCAAAGCACTATTCCAAATGTGCTCTGAGGTGACCTCGGACACAGATCTAACCCTAAGAGAGTTCTGGAAGAATCATTTTAATATCCTCCATTGCTTACATATGATAGACAAAGCATGGAGGGATGTGACTCAGGTAACACTGAAGGCAGCATGGAAGAAATTGTGGCCAGATGCTCTCCAGGAACATGGAACGGAGGCTGTCGAAGAGGATGCTCCTATTGTTGAGGATATTGTGTCTCTGGCAAATTCCATGGGCTTGGAAGTGAGTGGTGCTGATGTGGAGGAGTTTGTGCAGGAGCACCGGACTGAGCTCACCACAGAAGAACTTCAAGACATTCTGACAGAGCAGCAAAAGCCTGCAGCTGAGGAAATTAAGCCAGCAACTGAGGAAATAACTTCGTTGGAGGAGAGCAGAGAAAGTGCACCTACAGCGACAATCAAAGAAATGCTTGCAAAATGGGCTGAAGTGCAAGCTGTTGCTGAAAAATATCACCCTGATAAAGATGCTCTAAGTCATGCCACTAACATCTACAATGATATCGCTATGTCTCACTTTATAGAAACCTTAAAACAACGGCAAAAGCAAGTCTCAATTGAAAAAAATTTGGTAAGGAAAAGATCCAGTGAGTCTGAACCAGGTGGTAGTGGCGTAGGTGGCAGTGGAGGACTCCAACCCCCCATCCAAACAATGACTATCATCAGTGCAGGTAAGAGGGGAAAAAGTCACATTTTAGTTTTTAAAAAATCATCAATACGCTCAAGGATGCTTAGATGAGATGGCCAAGAGATGGCCTACCAGAAAAGAATGGCAGGGCAAGTTGATGGATTATGCCGAAATGGCTAAAATGACCAGAAGAATCAGAAATCAGGAAGACCAAATTTTTAATAAGGAATGGGGAAAATTTATAATTTATTTTAAAAACCATTGTAAACAGTTAAAATTGTTAGTAGGATTGGAATAACACTTGTAGTTTAATGGTGAATTTTGGACACAATGGAGAGGTAAAAGATTTGGATTATCATAAAAGATGCAGGAGGAAATGATTAACAGTAAGACCCACAAAGGGAAGGAGGGAAGTCCAGGAGATTTTTTGGAATCTTGTTTCTGTGTTGTATGTTGGATACGACTGTAAAATTTTAATCTGAAATGGATCCTATAGCTCTGATCCATCAGGTTTTTCTCTTTATGTCCAACCAGGTGGACTTTAAAAAAAAGTCTTCTTTGATTATACTAGCTGGAGATTTGGGATCATGCCCTCAAGAGCTGGTGGCCCCAGGCATAAGAGCCCAGCTGCCAGAACTTGATTTTGGGAGACCTATCGGACAGAAATAAGTGAGCTGCCTGTTATGTTCAATATCTGGGCATTCTCTCTCTGGACCAGCCAACCCAACTCCTTCCAAACGAGACAAACACACCATTTTTTTTAAAGCCTGTTGCAGGACAAGGACAAAAGAGTGTGATTAAAAAACTTTGCTGGGTGGCTCCGAAAAAAGTCCACCCTCCTCCTCCTCCCTGTGTGGTGGACTCCCCTTCCTTGGGGGTTTTGAAGCAGAGGTTGGATGGCCATCTGTCAGGGATGCTTTAACTGAGTTTATTCCTGCATTTTAAGGGGGTTGGGCTAGATGACCCCCGGGTATCCCTTTCTATGATTCTCTGAAATGTTTCTGGGCGCGAGACAAAGTGCAAGCAACTTGTCTTTCGTTGCTTTTGAGCAAAGAGGAAACCAGAGGAGGATCGCTCCCGGCTTCCCCAGAAAAAGCAGCGCCCATGAAGGATCCGGGCGCGATGGACGAGGACCAGGCGGCTTCTGCCACTGCGCCCCTCAAGGGTTAAACGCACTGAGCTCCGCTTCCTAGAGGGGCAGGAAGTTGGAACGTTGGGTCGGTGGGGGAAGGCGACGGCGAGCGCACAGGTCCGGCATTGGCTTCCGGAAGGGTGACGTTCCGGGCGGAGGTCTGAAGCGTCGGAGAAAAGGGCCGGGCCGAGGAGGTGAAGGTGCAGCTTCGGAGGGGGGGGGGGCGAGGGCAGTGCTGAGGGGGGGGGCGAGGAGAGACCCCCCCAACCTCGAAATCCACAGGTTGTGGGGCTGGGGCGCGCAACATGGCTGCAAAAAGGGACCTGCCTGCTTTATAGCTGGCTCTGCAAGGCTATCGTATATGGGGGTTATTATTACGGTATCAGTGCTTTTTTTCTTAAAAAAATGTTTAGGGGTACTCTCATTTGACTCAAGAGAATCGCCATTTTATAGTTCAAATTGGGAAAAATAAATAGAGTAAATGGAGAAAAGTACAAAGATTAACAAAATGTTTAGAGGTATGCGTAGCCTTGCGTCCCCCCAGAAAAAAGCACTAGTTGTTATTATTATTATTATTAATCGTATATGGGTGTTGTTCCTGTTGTTATTTAATTCATCATATATGGAGTTATTATTAGTATTATTCATCGAATATGGGGGTTATTAGTATTGTTGTATATGGGGGTTATTATTAGTCGTATTAGTATCATCATTGTAAAGGTAAAGGGACTCCTGACCATTAGGTCCAGTCGTGGCCGACTCTGGGGTTGTGACGCTCATCTCACTTTATTGGCCGAGGCAGCCGGTGTAGAACTTCCAGGTCATGCGGCCAGCATGACTAAGCCGCTTCTGGCGAACCAGAGCAGCGCACAGAAACACTGTTTACCTTCCCGCCGGAGCGGTACCTATTTATCTACTTGCACTTTGACATGCTAGGTTGGCAGGAGCAGGGACTGAGCAACGGGAGCTCACCCCATCGCGGGGATTCGAACCGCCGACCTTCTGATCGGCAAGTCCTAGGCTCTGTGGTTTAACCCACAGCACCACCCGCATCCCATCGGGGGACAAGGCATGGGGAGCTCAGCAGAGCTCAGCAGGCAGCACCAATCATACAATTGGAAGGAACCCCGGAGTCCTCTTATCTAGCCCCCCTGCAATGCAGGGATCTCTGCTAAAGCATCCATGGCAGGTGGCCCTCCAGCCTCTGCTTGGAGATCTCCAAGGAAGGAGAGTCCACCACCTCCTGAGGGAGACATTTCCACTGTTGAACATCTCTTACTGTCAGAATTTTTTTCCATATGTCTGGTTGGAATTTTCTTTCTTGTAACTTGAAGCCTCTTGTTTACATCTTCTCCATCTCCGCCCCAGGCAGCACAATGGCGTCGAAGGCACTACCAGGATCCTCCCTCCTTTGGGATGGAGCAGAAAGAACAGGTGTGCAGCCATCTCAGGTAAGTTAGAGACCACCTGGTGGAGATGCAGGGGGCAGCCTGGACACCTCCGTTCTGTCTCACTATGCTGCGGGAGGCGGGGACTGAAAAACATTCCCCTTTCTTCTTGATGCCCAAAGATATGAAGATGATCAAGCGAGAAGGCTGTGGAAATGCCTTTTCTTGAGAGTCTTGAATCTAGCAAAAAGAAAAAAATAGTAAGGCGATAGCAAAACTGATTTGTTTAATTTGTATGCCACCTTTGTATGTTAAGAAATCTTTAAGCCGTTTATGTAGCAGATGGGTGGTTTTCAATTAACTCATTCCGTCAGCTCAGGGATTACTGCTAGTGTGGCAGGATTCCACCCTCCTCATGTGCTGCCCACTCCCCATATGTGTTCCAGAGAGTTGGGAGACCCCCTAGCACAGATTTGGGGGGGGGGGGAGATGAGGGGAATTCCATTGCACCAATAGAAATCCCAATGCTGATGGAATGAGTACCTTATCACTATGTTAAATGCAACCATTGTTGGCTATTTGCAGACTAGTTGCAAGCTTGCTGGGCAGACCACATATTCAAGAAACGCAAAATAACTTTAGCTAAGTTTTAATAATAAAAACGAAAACTCATTTTACATTAATTATAATATATCAATAAGCATGACCCATCCACCAGGGTACTGAGAGAGCTAGGTGCTGCTCTTTATATACTGTACCCAACAGCTTAATTAACATAACTTAACAGCACCTGCTATACTGCTTCGCAGCTGTAAAACTAGGTGGTTGTTTTTTTTAAAAAAAAACATAAATATTATAAATGAATAAAAAAATCCCACAATTTAGTAGCTTAACTGCCCCTCATTTCAAACTGGGAGCAATGGTGTATGTAGGGAAGAATATTCTGAGTACAGAATATGTGCTTCTTTCAGTGTCTGGTGTCCTTTGAGGAGGTGGTTGTGTCTTTCACGAAAGGGGAGTGGGATCTCCTGGATCTGGGCCAAAGAGCTCTCTACAAGGAAGTCATGCTGGAGAATTATGCGGCTTTCATCTCTTTGGGTAAGGACAATCGTCCCTTGGTGGCCTGACGCTAAAGGGGTAGATTCCTATTCTTGGAATTTGTCACTGTACTGTAGAGATGCCAGTGTGGAAACAGATGGCAAGGCTGTGGGCCCACAGTGCGTCTCCTGGGCCATAATTTCCCGGACCTGACTAATGCCATATTGAAAACAGGCAAAACACAGTTTGTGGAGATGTGAAGCTTATGGGGTTTCACTTTTCCCAAACATGAACACAACATCCCTTTTTCTTCTCCTCTTTGTTGGAAATATGAAGGCATGGGAACACAGGGGACAGTTTTCTCCCCCAATTTTCCTTTCTCCCCAAATTTTCCTTTCTCCCCAAATTTTTTGGAAACAAATTCAGAAAAAAACCTTGGAAATTCCCCAGTTTTTCTGCCTTTCCCCCAGGCCTTCATAGCTCTACTCCTTGCTCCCTCAAACAACAGATGGGTGTGTTTGATTATTTGACCAGAGACTAGACTAGATCTGATAGGCCTTTTCTGTGATTCAACAGGGTGGTTCTTAGGTTCTCATGGGGAGGAGAAATGACCACCAGGTTGTGGTGTCCCATACGCAGAAATATCCCCAAACTAAAACCAAGTATCAGATGAATTCCACTGAGTTCAGATTCCCATCTCCTATTTGTTGCCAGCATATATAAGAACCTGCCTTTCCCTGATTCGGGAGGACATAGGATTGGATGGGCTTGGAATGCCACAGTATTTTCTACCCCAAAACAACGTGTCTTTCAGTTCCCTTGAAAGGATTTCCCAAACCAGACCTCATCTCCCGGCTGGCAGGAGGAGAGGATCCATTTCACTGGGACTCCAAGGAAGAGGAGATGTCAGCAGCAGGTACTTTCTTGGGAGTCTTGCGGGGCCATTTCATTCCCTGGGAACTGAGGAGGGGGTTCCTTCGTGAATTTTTCAGCTTCTGCTTAATCTCACCGAAGACTGACGGACTCATCCGGCTGCGGGTTCTTCCTTGTAGACACACCTTGAGGCTTCACCCTCTTAACTCACGTCGCTGGCTCTCACCCCAAAGCTCCTTTGAGGTTTGCCTCTGAGGTTTCTTCAAGTCGGTTTATTTATTTACAGTGGTGCCTCGCAAGACGAAATTAATCCGTTCCACGAGAGTCTTCGTCTAGCGGTTTTTTCGTCTTGCGAAGCAAGCCCATTGACGGATTAGCGCTATTAGCGCTATTAGCGGTTTAGCGGCTATTAAAGGCTTAAAGACTTAGGGGATTAGCTGCTAAAAGGCTATTAAAGGCTATTAAAGGCTTAGCAGATTAGATAAAGGGGGGGAAAAGCGAAAAAAAAATCTCTAGACTCGCAAGATATTTTCGTCTTGCGAAGCAAGCCCATAGGGGAATTCGTCCTGCGAAGCAACTTCAAAACGGAAAACCCTTTCGTCTAGCGGTTTTTCCGTCTTGCGAGGCATTCGTCTTGCGGGGCACCACTGTATTATAGATCTATATTTTTATGGGCAGTATTGAGTTGAGTCCTCCTCCCCAGGCTCCTTCATTGCATATTTAGGCACCAAGCAAAAGCATTCCTCTTCTCCTTTCTTTATAAGGAAGGAGATTCCAGTTAAACATCAGGAAGAACTTTCTGACAGTAAGAGCTATTCGACAGTGGAACAGTCTCCCTCAGGAGGTGGTGGACTATCCTTCCTTGGGAGGTTTTTAAGCAGAGATTGGAGGGCGTTATTCCCGATGTTTCGTCAGATTCTCCTTTCTTGTAACTTGAAGCCAAACGTTTCAAGGTTTCCAATAGCAATGTATTTTAGCCATCAGAGGCCTGGGTGAACAGAAAGGTTTTTAATCTCCCGCTCTTTCAAGCCAATAAAGAGGACAACAGATGCACCTCATCAGGGAGGGCATTCCACAAATGGGTGACCACCACCAAGAAGGCCCTGCCATGGGACAGCACCAACCGGGCAGCAGCCAGTGCCAGCAACATCACCAAGGCCTCTCCTGCCAATCATAGGGTCCCAGATAGCTGATATTGGGAGATTGTCTGATACCCCCTTTTCTCTGGAACTTGGTTTCTGACTCCGTTGGACCACCCACCTGCCCCCGAGCCCAGTGTCAACCAACTCCCCTGGAGTCCCACCTCCTGACTCCTGAGAGCCTGCCTAAAGTCAGGACAATGTACATACGCAATAGGCAATCTTTATAGAATTCCTTCAAACCATAACAAGTACAAAATGAAATCAAAGTCTCTGAAAATCTTTAAATGAAGCAAGGTACCAGACTTTGTATGATGAAAGACAAGCTGTGAAGCTTTGTGTATTCAGCAAATACTGTGACTACATTATTACATTATTATTGAGCAGTGACTACATTATTACATGAGCACTGTTCCACAGCATTTGATATTTTCATTTACATACATACATTCATTCGAAATAAGATGGGTTTATGAAGCAATTTTATATCCTCCCACCACGCTGATGAAGAATTCTACGAAACAATAGTCAATATCCGGCATCACTCTTCAGTGTTGAACATAATATTTCCTGAATACACAAAGCTTCACAGCTTGTCTTTCATCGTACAAAGTCTGGTCCCTCGCTTCATTTAAAGATTTCCAGAGACTTTGAGACTAAAGATTTCATTTTGTACTTGTTATGGTTTGAAGAAATTCTATAAAGATTGTCTAATGCATATGTACATAGTTATCGTGTTGCCTAGACATTGCTGACATTCTCTTTGCAGCACAGGGGTTTGTTTGGTTACTTAAAGTCAGAACAAATCAGTTCGCTGGCGGAAAGATTGCAATACGAAAGCTCACCCCAACAGCTGCTCTTCCTAGATTACAATTGCAGAACAAATCCTCATCTAGCTGGATGTAACTTGGTGTACAGAACTTCAGAACAAACCTTTGTAGTGACTGTTTTGGTAGCTGATCAATTGATTTACCCTCAAAGCAACAGCAACCACAGAAGAATGAGCTTTTCCCCAAGATGGTTTTTCTTGTCTACCCCATTATGTTAAAATTATGGAAAGTGATATGCAGAAATCAAGTGGGGAATGGACCTGAAATGAATGCGTGTTGTTCTCTGAAATACTAGCATACGCCAAAGGTAACCTAGGTCTCAGCGCAGTGTGTAAAGAGGAAAAGGGAAGAATATTGGAGATGTTGACCAAAGATAAGCTGCTAGGTCTTAGTTTTTGCCTTGAACCCCTAATAAGATTTTCTTTTCTTTTCCCCAGCAGGTGAAGGGGAAGAATATGAAATTTATAAGGAGCCATTTCTTGTGTCTTTGGAAAGAGTCCAGCAGGAAGCGGGGAAAGGGGTGTTTGCAAAGCGAAGGAGACCTAAAATGCTGGATGGAAACAACTCCAGGGATGAGAGGACTAAATCCTCTGCTTCTCTGGGTGAGGAAATCCTGAGCTTGCGTGTATTTCACAAGGGAAAGAGAAGGAAAAGGTATCCATTGGGTGGGAAGACTTTGACAGAGGAATTGAGCTTGAGGCACCGACACACTGCCCACCCAGAGGAGAAACCGTGCAAATGCCTGGAGTGCGGAAAGAGCTTTAGCCACAACGTGAGGCTTATCGCTCATCAGAGAACCCACACAGGGGAGAAACCGTTTCAGTGCCCTGAATGTGGAAAGAGCTACGCTGAAAGAGGGACACTCATGATACACCAAAGGATCCACACAGGGGAGAAACCTTATAAATGCGAGGAGTGTGGCAGGAGCTTCAATCACCGGTCCAATTTTACTTCACATCGGAGAACTCACACAGGGGAGAAACCTTTTAAATGCATGGAGTGTGGGAAGAGCTTCAGCCAGAGCACAAGTCTTACCACCCACCAGAGAATCCACACAGGGGAGAAACCATTTAAGTGTACCGAGTGCAGGAAGAGCTTTAGCCGGAGGTCGAGGCTCACCTCTCACAAGAGAACTCACACTGGGGAAAAGCCGTTCCGATGCCCAGAGTGTAGGCAGAGATTCAGTCAGAAAGCCCAGCTTTATTCCCATCAGAGAATCCACACGGGCGAGAAGCCGTACCACTGCCCCCAGTGCGGGAAAAACTTTGGTCACAGCACAAGCCTTAGCGCTCATCAGAGAATGCACACAGGGGAGAAGCCGTACGAATGTCCACAGTGCGAGAAAAGCTTCACTTACAGGGGGAGCCTTATTGCTCATCAGAGAAGCCACTCCCCGGAGAAGCCAAAGGAGTGCCTGCAGCCTGGGAAGGGCCTCAAGGAGAGATCAAGCGCTTCTTCACATCAGAGAGGCCACACAGGAAAACTCTGGATATACGGTCCCTTGCTTACAAACCCAGCTGACGGTTCAGCGCCGGTTCCCTGTTCATCTGGCAAGGAGACTGATATAAATGGGAAATTCTTTGTTTTATTTAAAAGATGAGCAGTTGGACTCTTGGGCAAATGCTATTCAACCCCATCGCTTTCTTTCCTTTTGCGTTTGCGAGCTTCGAAATTCCCCTCTTGCCGTCATCCTGTGTCATTATCGTTGTCAAATGTTTGGGGCAAGGCTGTGGCTAGGCAGTTTTTCATTTGTATCCTGCTTTAAGTATATTCTAGTGGTCATGTTGCACATTGAACCTCTCAGGTGGTGCTAAGGCCACCTTCAACAGTACATTTTGAAGCACTTCGAACAGCCATGGTTTCCCTGCAAAGAATTCTGGGAGCTGCAGTTTGTCATGGATGAGAAGAAGAAGAAGAAGAAGAAGAAGAAGAAGAATCCACCCATCCAACTGGGTTGGCACAGCCTCTCTGGGCAGCACCCAACAAAATTTTAAAAGGACCATTAAAAAATCAAAGATTAAAAACTTTCCGATAGAGGGCTGCCTTCAGATGTCTTCTAAACATCAGATAGTTATTTATCTCCTTGACATCTGATGGGAGGGCATTCCGCAGGGAGGGTGCCACTACCAAGAAGGCCCTCTGCCTGGTTCCCTGTAACCTCAATTCTTGCAGGGAGGGAACTGCCAGAAGACCCTCGCAGCTGGACCTCTGTGTCTGAGCTGGACGATGGGGATGGAGACGCTCCTTCAGGTATACTGGGCCGAGGCCATTTCAGGCTTTAAAGGTCAGCACCAATACTTTGAATTGTGCTGGAAACGTACTGGGAGCCAATGTAGGTCTTTCAGGACCAATATTATATGATCTCGGCGGCCGCTCCCAGTCACCAGTCTACCTGCCGCATTCTGGATTAGTTGTAGTTTCTGGGTCACCTTCAAAGGTAGCCCCACGTAGAGCATTGTTAGGTGATGCCCCTGTTCCCCTAGCAGAGCTACATTTCCCAGAGTTGCTAAAAAGGCTATCCCTCTTGCCAGGGAACTCTAGGATTTGTAGCTCTGTGATACTCCCACAACTCTTTGGAGGAAGCCATGACAGTTTTAAAGTGGTATCACGGTGATTTAAATGCATTGTGGCTTTAGTGTTGCTGGGGAAAGGCTGTTATGTTGAAGGGAGCGGAAAGCAGTGCCCCCCCCATGAAACAACTGGGAATTTTTGGAAAGCTCTGCAGATGGGGCGGGGTATGCTTTTTGTGTGTGTGTGTTTTTTGTAACTTTAATGTGTAATAGCAGTTTTTAATGTAAGACAATCCATTGCGCTGGAGAGTGATTATTTCTGTGCATACTATAGAGCTCAGTGCTTTCAATCTCTTTCTGGATTTCACATCATTTTAGAGCTTGAATTTTACACAATTGCATTTGTTTAAATAAAAGCAGAACTTGCTTTCAGGACATCCCCCCTTCATTAGAAATCACTGCTTTCAAAATTCTGGGTTTGTGCTTTTCCCATTTTCTGGAGCCACTTTTATTCCATTTATTTAAGCACCTGCACTCTGCTGCTTTTTGCAGAACTTCCGTCATGTAGCATCTGGGTTTTTTTATTAACTACCGTATTTTTTGCACCATAGCACTCACTTTTTTCCTCCTAGAAAGTAAGGGGAAATGTCTGTGCGTGTTATGGAGGGAATGCCTACGGGTGGCATGCCTACGGATTTTCCTCCTCTAAAAACTACGTGCGTGTTATGGTCGGGTGCGTGTTATAGAGCGAAAAATACGGTAATTGCTCCTCGTTTGAAAGGGGAAATGAATATTATTTTTTAAATTTCCTAAGGTTTCCTCCCTGCCCATCACCGTACGGTCACAGGGAGGGCAGATTACAACCATTTAATAGGCAATCAGTACTTTTTTTTCTAAAAAAAATATTTAGGGGTACTCTCCTTTGGACTCAAGAAAATCACTATTTTATAGTTCAAGTTGGGAAAACTAAATACAGTAAATGGACAAAAGTACAAAGATTCACAAAATGTTTAGGGGTATGCAGAGCCATCTTTCCCATAGGGCTTAGTGGTTTGTTTTGGCCTCTCAGGAGCGCCCCAGGGAGTGGGGGAGCTTTGCAGCTCTATCGGCGGCCTCCCCTTTCCCTGCACGCCCGCCAGCTGCACCTCGCCAACCATATGGCTGGCGGACGTGCAGCTTGCCTCCCAAACCTCCGCGGGAGGAGAGCGATCCCTGCAGAAGCTTAGGATGGAAGCTGCGCCCCGCCAACTACCGTATTTTTCGCTCTATAAGACGCACCAGACCACAAGACGCACCTAGATTTGGGAGGAGGAAAACAAGAAAAAAAATATTCTGAATCTCAGAAGCCAGAACAGCAAGAGGGATCGCTGCGCAGTGAAAGCAGCAATCCCTCTTGCTGCTCTGGCTTCTGGGATAGCTGCGCAGCCTGTATTCGCTCCGTAAGACGCACACACATTTCCCCTTACTTTTTAGGAGGGAAAAAGTGAGTCTTATAGAGCAAAAAATACAGTATATGGCTGGCTGGTGTGCAACTTCCTTCCCAAGCCTCCCTCCCTCCCTCACCGCACACCCCCAGGCTCCCCTGCGGGAAGGCAGCGTCTCCCTCCCTGACCCCACACCCCCAGTCTTCCCTCAGTAAAGTAGCATTTATTACTACTTGGGAGGAGGCGGCAGCAGCAGCAGCAAGATGAACATTTGGGGGCACTGGGTGGATCTTTGCACCCCGGTGCCGCATATGCTAAAGATGGCCCTGGGGGTATGCGTACCCCTGCGTCCTATCCAGAAAAAAGCACTGTATGCAATTATAAAGCGAGTCAAAACTGTTCCAGGCATAACAGAACAGGATGAATTCAATAAACGATGTGGGTCCCACAAAGAGAATGCCTTCTCTGTCAAGGACCAGGAGGAAGAGACGCATCTTCTGCACCAGTGAAGGGGTGCAGACAGGATGGCATTGCTCCCTCTCCCCCACACACACTTAAGTGTTACTGTGGGTTCCTCAAAAGATGGGTGGCAAGGCATGGGGGCCTCAGCAGGCGGCATCAATCATAGAATCGTATCTCCTCTCAGTCTCCTCTTTTCCAGGCCAAACATACCCAGCTCCTTCAACCATTCCTCTCAGGCTTGGTTTTCAGACTCTTCATCATCTGCACACCTTCCAGCTTTTCAACATCCTTCTTAAATTGTGGCACCCAGAACTGGGTCTGTTTAGCCTGGAAAAGAGGAGACTGAGAGGAGATAGGATAGACATCTTCAGATATCTGAAGGGCTGTCACATGGAAGGTGGAGCACGCTTGTTTTCTCCTGCTGTGGAGGGACTCGAACACATGGCTTCTGAGATTCCGACTAAAGACCAGGAAGAGGTTTGTGACATTAAAAAACGTTCGACAGTGGAACGGACTCCCTCGGTAAGTGGTGGAGACTCATTCCTTGGAGGTTTTTAAGCAGAGGTTGGCTGGCCATCTGCCATGGATGCCTTAAGTTGAGATTCCTGCATTGCAGAGGGTCAGGCTAGATGACCCTCAGGTTCCTTTCCCACTCATGATTCTGTGATTTGTGCAGTACATAGTTAAACTATGGAACTCCGGCAAGAGGCAGGTATGGATTAGACACAGAAGTAGACAATTTCGTGGAGGAAAGAGCTATCCAGGTACAAATTCAGATATGTTCTACCTCCCTGTCGGAGGCAGTAAACGCTGCTTCTGAACACCAGTTGCTGGAAGCCACAGGATGGGGCGTGCTGTCGCACTCAGAACCTGCTTTTGGGCTTCCTATTGAGGCTGGGACCAGAATGCTGGACTAGATGGACCACTGGACTGGCCTGATCTCAGTAGAGATCTCATGTTTTTAAACATGAGCAGAATTAAAAACCACACACACAAACACACAAAATCAGAGTGAGAGAGAGAAGGTGCCTGCAACTCAGCCGTCCAATGGTTAAATGGACTGAGCTCTTGTTCCTAGAGAGGCAGGAAGTTTTGAAAGTGAGGTGGGAGAGACTATGGGGGTGCACACTCCTTGGTCTTTCAGGGAGGGAAACGGGCCCAGTGACATTTTTTGGCAAGGCTGATGGGTGGAGTGGAGGCCTGGATCCAAGAGGTGCAGGAGGAGGATGCATTTGGGGGAAGTGGCACAGCAATAAAACTGCTGGAACATTTGCAAAGCTAAGCAGGGTCCAGTATGGTTTCAAATTGGATGGGGTACCTCTGTTGATTCCTGCATTGCAGGGGGCTGGACTGGATGACCCTGAGGGGTCCCTTCCAACTCTACCATTCAGGGAAAGAGAATCCCCCTTCCCACCTCCCCTCACAAAACGATAAGCATGGGGTGGTGGTGCTGATCCATGCAAGTGGGCTGCAAAATGGGGGCCCCACTCAGCTGCATTGATCTGCCAGACTGCCTGGAAAGCCCCGACTGCAATATATGGGGTGGGAAGAAATGGATTTGTGGGGCAGAGGTGGACGGGTGAAGGAGCTCTTTAAAAATAAAAAGGAGGAAGAACACCCCCTCCAAAAAAAATCCACACCCATCCAACTACAAAATGCCCCCCCAAAACCCTGGATTGGGTTTTAAAGGATCTTCCTCCCCTCCTGCCTCTACTCTGAACTCTTATCAAATCTGTGTAGGGGCAGGAGAGGAAAGAGCCTTGCGGAGGGAAGAGGGGAACGTAGCTGTGCAGCTTTTCAGTGCCAGAGCTGGAGGGGAACTACTTTTTTGGTTTCCTGAACGTGAAAAGAGGCTGCTCAGTTTCTCTCCTGCATCATCATCATCATCATAACAACAATAATTTATACCTCACACACTCACACATGGGCATAGGATTTTTGTTGGGGGGGCAGGCCTTTTGTTGGGGGGCAGAACCTCAGCTATGTATTTTTATTGATTTCTATTTGTTGGGGGGGCAGTTGCCCCTCCCTGCCCCCCTTGGCTACGCCCATGATAAAACATCAGTCATGAATTTATCGGAACTGTTTCTTCCTTCAATTTTCAGGCATAAATCCTTTGGTAAGGAAGGGATCATATTCCCCTTTCCTTCTAGGGCTCAAATATACAAATATGATTGACTGGGAAGAAACCCTGCCTGTTTAAACACTGCACTATATTCCGGCATTTGTTATTGCAATGTGTTTGACGGGGCAAGTCTTCTCTCTGGTCAGGTGCAAGTTCGTTTAACTGTCACTGTTTGACGGACAGCTGAGGAGGGGCTGGAGCGATGTGTATTCTGATTGGCGGTTGCTGGTTTAGAATTCTTAGACGCTGTGATTGGCTGGGTTCGCCCAAGGAAGTATAAATATAGCCAGGTGCTATTCAGCAGAGTTAGTTGGAGCCGTTGGTGCTCCTGGAGTCAGACAGAAGAAGGCAGAGGAAGAGGATGGGGATGGGGAAAGAAGATCCAGAAGGAAGGGCAGAGGGGCTTGGTGGCCAAAGGCTTCTTGGGCTAGCCATATAACTTGGCTCAGCCTAAGGAGTCTACAGCACTGAAGGAGAAGAAAGGAGAGGCGGTTTGCAATGCTGGGCTCTGGTGCCTGGTAGGGGAGCCAGAGGAAGATTCCAGGACAGCAAGAACAGGCCTGGGGT